AGCGGGCTGAGGACATCCTGCTGGAGGGCGTCCACGACAGGGAGCCCCACTTCCTCGTGGGCTATGCCAGGAACCTGGAAGCCTTGGAGTTCATTCTGTGCCTTTGAGGATGCCGTCGCGGCGGAGGTGACCCCCTGCGGATCAGTGCTGATGCCCTGCGGGTGCTGGCGTGGTGACCTGGGGACATCCCGGCCAGGCACCATCGGGGGCACCTGCTCTCTGGACTGTCCTCTCCGGGGACCGACGTGGAGGACTGGATCAACAGCGCGAGCAGTAGGGAAGTGGTGCAGGATGCCTGGTTTGGGCAAAGTCCTCCAAGCACTTGAAAGAGCTCCTTGTTTTGCCCATCGTGTGCTGCCAGCGCCGCTTCCTGCTTCAGCCAGGTGCGTACACCGGGGCCGGGCTGCCCTGGCCAGGAGCTGCCTCCAGCACAGCTGAGGAGCCCGGCTCACCTGAGATTGCTGCACAAAGGGGCTGGGGTGTAAATCTCTGGGGGTGTGGCCCCCCAAAATCCTGCACAAGCAAGTGAGCACCCTGCCGTGTGCTGGGACAGGCTTTGCCCTCAGCTAAGAAAGGGGAGATGCAATTTACTCCCTGTCATCCCGTGGCAGCAGAGTCATCCTCAGGTACCTTCACCCTTGCTGAGTGGCAGCTCCATGCAAGTTTCATCCATCCCTGCCTTTAGTCCCTAGGGAGAATTTGCTCAGGGACTTGGCATGCTGGGCTCACCCTAACCATGTTCTGCCCATCTATTCTGGCCTCTGAGTGCCCCCTGCCCCACAGAGGAGGCTGTTTGAGGGGAGGGGGAAGGGGGGGAAGCTGGAAGCACATCAGAGCTGGACTGGGACATTGGGGAACTGTGCACACATAGGCCCCAGTTGAAACCTTCCTCCCCAGGAAAGACAGGATGGGGAGGGACACTGGGAATGCCCTTGGGGGTCCCATCAGCTTCTTCATGCATTTTCATCTCCAAAGGTGCTTCTTGAAGTAAATCTTGGCTCTGATGGAAAACTGATATGACAGGACCAGAGGGTCTGCAAGTCTCTTAATGCAGCCTCAGCAAGCCCCCCATTCCCTCCTTCCTCCACGGCCAAGACAGACCCCTTCATCCTCCTCTACCCCCACAACCTGAGACCCTTGTTGGTCCATTTTTCTTGGACCACATTGTTTTTCTTGGCACTGTTCAGCCACCCAGCAGCATGACTCTGTTCAGCTGCTCACGGCTTCCTGCTGTGCCCACATCTGCTGGCCTGGCCCTGAGCCCCGCTGGAGCGATGCTCCTTCCCGAAAACCACCCCAGTGGGATTTGGAGAATGGCTTTCACCAGGGAACCACAGCCAAACCACAGCATTGGAAAGGCATGAGTTGAGCACGAGGGGACACACAGGCATTGGGGCACTTGGAGCCTGGACTTGCCTCAGAGCTGAGACAGGGGCTCTTTGGGAAGTGAAGCAAAGGTTCAAAACTTAAGGGGGGGGGGTGG